TGGAGTGGTTGGTGTTTTGGGTAGTTCTAGATATCGGATTTCACTCAAACTTTACCAAATGACTCCTCCCATCATATTATGATGTTGCCCAAGTTTTGGGCTCGATCCGAAATACATAGGGGTAAGAAACTAGACAGTTCAAGTTCAAAGGCAATTCGTTCCTAATTGGAGTGGTTGGTGTTTTGGGTAGTGCTAGACATCGGATTTCACTCAAACTTAACAAAATGACTCCTCCCACCATATTATGATGTTGCCCATGTTTTGGGCTCGATCCGAAATCAATAGGTGTAAGAAATTGGACAATTTATGTTCAAAGGAAGTTCGTTCCTAATCGGAGTGGTTGGTGTATTCCATAGTTCTAGGGATTGGATTTCACTCAAAACTAACAAAATGACTCCTCCCACCATATTATGAAGTTACCCAAGTTTTGGGCTCGATCCGAAATCAATAGGTTTAAGAAATTGGACAATTCAAGTTCAAAGGCAGTTCGTTCCTAATTGGAGTGCTTGGTGTTTTGGGTAGTTCTAGAGATCGGATTTCACTCAAACTTAACCAAATGACTCCTCCCACAATATTATGATGTTTCCCAAGTTTTGGGTTCGATCCGAAATCAATAGGGTTAAGAAGTTGGACAATTCATGTTCAAAGGCAGTTCGTTCCTAATTGGGTGGGTTGGTGTATTGGGTAGTTCTGGAGATCGGATTTCACTCAAAGTTAACCAAATGAATCCTCCCACCATATTATGATGTTGCCCAAGTTTTGGGCTCGATCCGAAATCAATAGGTGTAAGAAATTGGACAATTCATGTTCAAAGCCAGTTCGTTCCTAATTGGAGTGGTTGGTGTTTTAGGTAGTTCAAGAGATCGGATTTCACTCAAACTTAACCAAATGACTCCTCCCACCATAGTATGATGTTGCCCAAGTTTTGGGCTCGATCCGAAATCAATAGGTGTAAGAAATTGGACAATTTATGTTCAAAGGCAGTTCGTTCCTAATCGGAGTGGTTGGTATATTCCATAGTTCTAGTGATCGGATTTCAATCAAAACTAACCAAATGCCTCCTCCCACCATATTATGATGTTGCTCAATTTTTGGGCTCGATCCGAAATCAATAGGTGTAAGAAATTGGACAATTTATGTTCAAAGGCAGTTCGTTCCTAATTGGAGTTGTTGGTGTTTTGGGTAGTTCTAGAGATCGGATTTCACTCAAACTTAACCAAATGTCTCCTCCCACCAGATTATGATGTTGCCCAAGTTTTGGGCTCGATCCGAAATGAATAGGTGTTAGAAATTGGACAATTCAAGTTTAAAGGCAGTTCGTTCCTAACTGGAGTGGTTGTTGTTTTCGGTAGTTCTAGAGATCGGATTTCACTTAAACTTATCCAAATGACTCCTCCCACCATATTATGATATTGCCCAAGTTTTGGGCTTGATCCGAAATCAAAAGGTGTAAGAAATTGGATAATTCAAGTTCAAAGGCAGTTCGTTCCTAACTGGAGTGGTTGGTGTTTTGGGTAGTTCTAGAGATTGGATTTGATTCAAACTTAACCAAATGACTCCTCCCTACATATTATGACGTTGCCCAAGTTTTGGGCTCAATCCGAAATTAATAGGTGTAAGAAATTGGACAATTTATGTTCAAAGGCAGTTCGTTCCTAATCAGAGTGGTTGGTGTATTCCATAGTTCTAGAGATCGTATTTCACTCAAAACTAACAAAATGCCTCCTCCCACCATATTATGATGTTGCCCAAGTTTTGGGCTAGACCCGAAGTCAATAGGTTTAAGAAATTGGACAATCCAAGTTCAAAGGCAGTTCGTTCCTACTTGAGGTGGTTGGTCTTTTGGGTAGTTCTAGAGATCGGATTTCTCTCAAACTTAACCAAATGACTCCACCCACCATTTTATGTTGTTGCCCAAGTTTTGGGCTCGATCCGAAAAAAATAGGGGTAAGAAATTGGACAATTTAAGTTCAAAGGCAGTTCTTTCCTAATTGGAGTGGTTGGTGTTTTGGGTAGTTCTAAAGATCGTATTTCACTCAAACTTAACCAAATGACTCCTTCCACCTAATTATGATGTTGCCCATGTTTTGGGCTTGATCCGAAATAAATAGGGGTAAGAAATTGGACAATTGAAGTTCAAGGGCAGTTCGTTCCTAATTGGAGTGGTTGGTGTTTTGGGTAGTTCTAGAGATCGGATTTCACTCAAACTTAACCAAATCAATGTTGCCCAAGTTTCGGGCTTGATCCGAAATAAATAGGGGTAAGAAATTGGACAATTCAAGTTCGAAGGCAGTTCGTTCCTAATTGGAGTGGTTGGTGTTTTGGGTAGTTCTAGAGATCGGATTTCAGTCAAACTTAACCAAACGACTCCTCCCACCATATTATGATGTTGCCCAAGTTTTTGGCATGATCCGAAATCGATAGGTGTAAGAAATTGGACAATTCAAGTTCAAAGGCCGTTCGTTCCTAATTGGGGTGGTTTGGTGTATTGGGTAGTTCTAGACATCGGATTTTACTCAAACTTAACCAAATGACTCCTCCCACCATATTATGATGTTGCCCAAGTTTTGGGCTCGATCCAAAAACAATGGGTGTAAGAAATTGGACAATTAAATTTCAAAGGCAGTTCGTTCCTAATTGGAGTGGTTGGTGTTTTGGGTAGTTCTAGAGATCGGATTTGACTCAAACTTAACCAAATTGTGATGTTGCCCAATTTTTGGGCTCGATTTGAAATCAATAGGTGTAAGAAATTGGACAATTTATGTTCAAAGGCAGTTCGTTCGTAATCGGAGTGGTTGGTGTATTCCATAGTTCTAGAGATCGGATTTCACTCAAAACTAACCAA